AACCAAAGCGCATATTATCAGAGCATCTGTATGAAAAATTCGTTTCAATAAAATTGATTAACAATATTTTAAGAAAATAATGCAACTTGGAAATAATATGATTAAATGATAGTAGATACAATAGTAGATATAATAGTTTTAAGTACTCATAGTCTATTTAGTTGTGTAATTGAAGTGATTTTCTCAGTGATTTTAAATGGCAAAAATTAGATTAGGTCTTACACCAGCAAGCGATATTTGACAGTGTTGTTGAAGTTTCATACACAAAAAACAAAACTATACATTTCAAAAAGCGATTAAAAGCAAGCGGCTGAAGCAAAAGCCAATAAATTAAAATAGGTTCAAATAAACGAAATTTAAATTGAAATTAATTTCGACTGGTCACTCACAAAGTTAAATAACCAGTTAAGCAACTAAAGTTAGAAATGGAACTTGCATGTTATGACTTTCACTACAACAGGCTCAAAAATTACCTGCTTTTTAGGAAATAAATAATTTATTTTGGACGCTTTTAGGTTAGCTCCACACCACCTACCTTTTGACGATGCAAAATGAAGTGCAAAAAGTTAAAAAAAAAATTAGTCAATTATATCTACTTGTAACTAAAGTGAGTTGCAACTTTTCATTTGAGTTGAAATATTTCATTTAGACTCTTCAAAATAATCACCACAAATAAATTGCAAGAAAGAAAATCGCTAGACCCTATACGATGGATGATTTCCATTTCCAAAAACAGGCCTGCTTTCTACCAGTTTTTCGAGCATTTGGAATTATTGATCTTGTCAGTGGCTATAAGGTTGGTTAAAACCATTTTTGAGTAATACTAAAAAAGATAAATTATTCTCATGCCAGACCGTACAACCTGTATATTTATAATACTGCAGGACTTAAAATCTTAAACTTCGCAAGGCAATCACTGCTGTTTTATGATCTGTCTGAATTTGTGATGCTAAACATCTAACTTCAATGTGTAAATTATCAAATATGCTTTAAAAAATTACTATAACTTCCTTGAGCTTCAAAGTAGGACAGGACCCAAAAAAAATGACAAGATTTGTGCTTTTGTAGTAGAAATCAATTCAAGGTTTTCCATATCAATTATCAATCTGAGTCACGGATTTCAATTCGAATTTGAACCTCTGAGACATTGAACACATTTATTAGTTCAATATTTATTTCCAGTCTCTGGCGATAAATGGAAAATCAAAGACATTAAACAAAGTATTCAACTAGTTTGCGTGCGATTTCTCCATCTTCTTTCCTTTTACTGCCATTAGTAGACACAGTCGGTGGTTAAACGCTGTAGTAGACCTATAATTCTTGCCTCACGTGCTTCAAAATTAGTTATGGAATTATGTTGCCATACTGTAGACTAACTTTGATTTATGGCATAAAGCCATTTTCGATAAAATATATTAGATGTATCAAGTTGGAAGGCATGGAAAATAGTTAAATCCGCCGAAAATTTGCTGTTTCGTGCACCTGTATCTAGAAACTATTACCTTAGAAAATACTTATTTTGTAAAAGTGTCAGCTTTCGAAGCATGCTGAATAATTTTAATTTATAAATGAAATAATCATCTCCATTCGCCGTTATTTAAGACAAAAACAAGATTTTACATTATGTGTCGACTTCCAAAATCATTTATTTTTCATATGCGTTATTTATTAGTTACGAGTATTTAAACACAATTTGATTTCTTTCTGTTTGTCTCTTGGTTTCACATACAACAATCCTCAATATTTTCTGAATTTATGCATTTAATATATTCAAGGTAAGCTGTGATAGTTGGGTACATTTATGACCGTAAATCAAACACGATCGACAAAATCGCACTCATTAACTGCTTTTACGATAGAACACCTACAATATAAACATATTTTCACTTTTATTGTGTGTTAATGCATTTCAGTGAAGTGAAGTGTTGCGCAGGCTATTCAAAATTAGATAGTTGTAAGCTACTGCACTAGAAATAAATAAATTGTTTGCTTTGGGAGGACACAAACAACGTTTAACAAATAATATAGCTTGAATTGCAGAAGTATATTGAAATAATCTTATTTTTATACAAGATGGTTGATATGG